AACATTAACTTTCCATTATTATATGCTTAATTATATAAAACAAACTATTTTGGCGTTGTAGATCGGTACGTACACGTATACACTTGGAACTGGTAATTATTCTCATGGTTACGTTCGTTCGTTTCATTCCAGTAGTTTAACTACTAAAATATATCAGGGTTTATGATCCCTTCTCTGTAGCGATGGTCAGTTGTGGCAATGCGGTATTACTAAGCGCTGTGACGGGTCCTACGTCTATCCCTTCACCGCTACTATCCAAAGCAGTGGCAAAAAATCGGTGGCGTAATTATGGTTTGCGAATATTGTATGTTGTTAAGATATTATAGGTTGGCTAAATTGCAATTTTATTTCCACCTTACCGTGATGTGTTGCGTAAATGGGTGACGAGTGAAACAGTAAACATTCGTAACCACGTGTGAACACACCGCACGCGTGCTACTATTCTACTTGGTGTCGAGAGCATAACAGATTGCCCCCCGCCCTGATTATATAGCTGCCTTGGCCTCGGCCGCGAACGAGTTAAGAACTAAGTCTAATACAAAATTATACGTGGCTATCTGACTGCGCATGGGAAGCTGCTGACGTTAGTATGAATATAGGCAAACACCGACGATTCGGCTTATTGAAAATAGGACGGTTTATTGCAGTGCGGCACAGATAATGCGTTGACACGTATACTTACAACAATGAAATCACCTCGAACCACATACCGACAACACCACGGTTCTCGACTAGATGACGCTTCACGAGCATTCACTGCATTATATGGAGAAGATAAGCAATGTAAACCGCGAACATGTTTAAACTGTCATCTTCTATTCAGCTCGATTAAGAACGGCATATATGAAAGCAAAACATGACGCGACCCGATGTGTTTGCATAGGCGTCGCGGCCCGGGATTCCACGGAAAAGCAAATATACTAATAAAGAAGGCGAATAAAGGAAGAGCAATATAGATAGAAATTGTAATCGAGGGAGAGAGACAGGGGAAAGGAAAGGAAAGGGAGAGGTGAGGGGGACAGGTGGGAGTGATAACGATAAAAGGGATGAGTAAGAAGGTAAAACTGAATGAAGACATTGACGGAGAAGAGAGCGGAGGAGATGGTAAGGGAATAGAGTATGATTGTGTGAGAGAAAGGCAACTGTAAAAAAAGTTTCAGAGACGCGGTAAAATAGAACAAGAGAGGTGGGGAAAGAGACCGAAAGAGTGAGCAAGAGAGGTGGGGAAAGAGACCGAAAGAGTGAGCAAGAGCGAGGGGAAGGGAGAGAGCGCGCGCGGGATGGGGGGGGGGAGAATTATTAATGTGAGGGTAAAGAAAGATAGAGGCATAGAAAAAATATGTGGAAAGTTTTTAAGGAAAATGGGCAGAGGTATTTTTATTTTCAAGAAACAAATAGCGATTTTAACAATGTGTAGAATTTACCTATACGTCTTACATATCTATATACCCGCGAATATCGCGGTGTCAGAATATATATAGCCTTACTGGGTACTACTGAGGAGTAGTACTACTTAAATAGTGCCCATTAACGAAGCATATAACCCTGTTGGATTAACAGTTAGCAGCCATTGAGTGAAGCATATAACACTTCTTTCAAACCAGGGAGCCTATTATAAACTCCCTGTTTCAAACCTAATCTCTTTCTTAAAGCTAGACTATGACGTTCGAGCTGATAGTTTAGTAATATTCTAGGCGTTGGGCATAACCAGTGCAAGTGCAGGCGATGTCTCTACCCATGCTCTCCACACACTTGTACTTGCATAAAACGTGAATATCAATGCATATTCTTTACAAAATGCAATGGCTGCTCCGAATCGTGTAACAACGAGGTTGTCGTCTATAACACTAGCCAGCTAGTATTGAGCAAAGTATTGAGCATCAAGTAAAGAATGCAGATATTCGCGGAGTTGTTTAGTGGCGCCATCTATTTCTAAAATTATCAATATAATATAAATAAATGGGATAACTTCAGATCCTGGTAAATGGTTTTAAGGCACAATTTTTTCATGACATGTCACTGGCCGCTGCTTGATTCAAATTAATCCACAGAAGAACCTGCGCGAGATACCAGAATACATCTTGATTAAATCAGTTTCCTAGCATCCTAAATTTCTAAATCTTTTAAGTTTTATTAACTTTTGAGGAACGACCCTAATTCGAGAATTTATTGTCACGCTCATGCGAACATGCAACACTTATGAATAAATATAGAAGAAAGACTGGTTTTAGTCTTTAATTATACACTTAAAGTAGAAAGCAGAAAATTAAAGCTAGTTTGAGTTAGATAATGAGTGATGGTGGAGGAGGAGAAGAGTAGGAGGAAGGGGAGAGAAGGTGGAGAAGCCGGAGGAGGAGAAGCGAGAGGTAAAAAAGTGGAAAGGAGGGAGTAAACGGCGAAATGATATGAGTGAGGACGGGAGTGTAGGAGATGGATAAAGTGGGATGGGGCGAAGTAAGCAGAGAGTAAAGCGGATTTCGTGAAGAGCTATAATGTATCAACTTTTACCAATTATCCCTATGCGCGCGCGCTCTCTCTCTCTCTCTCTCTCTCTCTCTCTCTCTCTCTTCTCTTCTCTCTCTCTCTCTCTCTCTCTCTCTCTCTCTCTTCTCTCTCTCTCTCTTTCTCTCTCGCTCTCTCTAGTCGCCCATCTAGCAGAAACTTAGAATTCTGTTTAAATTCAATTTATAAAACAACGCGAATTTATTGAAAAGTAGTTTAATGAGAATGTTAGCTCGGTGGCCCAATTTCCGAAGAGACCAGGTTCAGCCGTTCCAAACTCCCAACGTTGTAGAAAAATATTTGTGTAAAGCTAGACCCATGTACTCGCATGACCAATACCTAACTGTAACAAGGGATTAGTTTGCGTAAACTATTCTACTCTATATGTGATTAGTCGTTGCCAGCCAAGATAATTTTTCTGACGAGCTAACGCGCTCAAAATGGGCAGCGTTGTACGAGTGGGAGATGTGCATGGCCAAATCCTATCTAAAAAATTTCAGTTCGGCGGCTGCATCCCGCCATACCCCTTCCCCTATGCGATTTTACACGCGAAATGGCGCTAGAGCCAAGATAAATTTTTTCGGTCGATCTTACGCACTTTAATTGGATAGGTGTACGCCTATGATGTGCATGACAGAATCCTGTCGAAAGTTTCACTTCGGCCATATAGCATCCCGCCACACCCCTTTCCCTAGGCTAATGTATATTACAAATGGCGCTCGCGTCGCTGGTCGCCGTTGTCGGGTGTCACTTTCCCCCGGGCGTAGATGGACAAGATGGCGTCGGTGGCGTAGATCATACTAGATGCTTCAAAGTCCAAATCTTCCACAGAAAGATTCCACAGTCATACTTCCGTGCTAGACATGGCCTTATTTCCCTAACCCTAACCCTAACCCTAATCCTAACCCTAACCCTAACCCTGACCCTAACCCTAATCTTAACACAAGTGCAGCCACATCACGTGACCGTCCATCTACGCCCGGGGGAAAGTGTTTCACGCCGTTGTCAGCCTAGATAATAGTTTTCGGCCGATGTTACGCGCTCAGAATAGGCAGGAATACGCCTGAGAAAAAGTGCGAAACGAAGTTCTATCTAAATATTTCACTTCGGCCACTGAAAAGTTTTACAACAAGTTTCGCTACTTCGATGGAGAGGCACTGCCCAGCCATATTTCCTCCCTATCCTAAGCTGTGGCGATTGAGACATTGACACCTTGGGGATGTAGCGCCCTAAGTAACTGTCCTAGGGTGACAGCTAGGCAGGACCTGATGGGGAGCATCGCAAATTCCGACCTAGCGACACTTCCGGCGCCCCGGGAGGGGAGTGGGCACACGCCTCCGTGTCGGAAGTGACCCCCACCGGAAGTGACCGTGACGCACTTCCTGTTCCAGAGTACAAGTTTCCCTACTACTATAGGCACGTCGGCGACCTAGCGCCCAAATTAAATGACCTCTCACTATCCCACTCTCTCTCTCGCGCTCTCTCTCTCTCTCTCGTTCTTTCTATTTTGTTGTGCAATGACGTGCTACCTTGCTGCCTTCTATATTTTTCTATGCTCTTCTAATCCATCCTCTGTGTTAAGCTTGTAACATTGCGCTTGCCTGATCGATAGCTGCGCCGTTGCCTCTCCGTATAGAGAGAGCTCTGTCATCTCACGTTCCCACATGCCTTCGGCTCGACGGCTGTCGTTGATGAGCGCACACCTGTTGCTCTGACACTACATGTACACCTCATCAGCTAATTACCTCACTACATCTAAAAGCCGACAAGCACAGGAAGCAAGCAAGGTGAGCACAGCGCACACGGGGGAGAGAAATATAGAAGATAATTATCACACGCGTGCGTGCAGGGAGGAGGAGGCAGAGCAGGCGAGCAGCATCCGCGCAGGGGGCATTTTGCAGCCATTAGTAGACGCGAGGCACCACTTGATCGCGCGCCATCGACGCGGCAAAATGTCGCTGGCTGATTGGCATCGTTAACAGGCGGCTAGGCAGTAGGTGTCCTCACCGAAGGCAATCAGCGAGATTGACAGTTGCATTTTTCCGCGTCGTCAGGCCGCTTGCGCACGCGCAACGCGAAGCAAATTTTACTTGTTGCGCATAGGCGTCTAACGCCGACATCGGAAATCATTGCAGCAAATTCTGTTTGAGTTAGAAGTATCGCAACACAGTTTTCTAAATAACAGCATCGGCAGCTGCAGCAGCAACAACAACAACAACGTTTACAGCATCAGCAGCGACAGTGACGACAACGACGACGACGACAGGAATAGTGGCGTGGGTGACTGCGGTAGCAATGTGTAGCGCGCTGCAGAAGTAGGATAGATCTATCCTGTTCAGAATGGCTAGGGTAAGAGACATCGGCTACCTCTAAAAAGACTACCGCCGAAGATCAATGCAAGAATCACCGAAGCCACGGGTTGTCTCTGTAGCTGAAGTCTCCCTACTTGCATGTAATGACATTCGGACACAGTTGTGACCCACCTTGAAACGTTTACGATGGAGCCATTACGCAGTTGCGGCTCATTGTGGAAATTCGTCGTTATCGTCATCGTCATCGTCATCTCACTGTTAAGGCTGTGCGCCATATTGCTCTATCGGGCCGCCGGCGCCCTCTGGTGGATGGCATATGCAGTGACGATGAACTGCAGCCGCACTGCCCACCGCTACCTCGTCGACAGCTTTCTGCAATGCTGCCTCAGACATGGGCATGTGCCTGAAGGGAACTGGGAAATGGTTCATTCTGCGGCTGGTACGTACATAGTACACCCCGACAGTGAGATCTACTGGCTCTGGCAGGTAAATCAACAAACTGAACATATTTATGAATAATATTTAAAAATCAATAAGCGTTTAATTCTCTAACAAAATCATAATAAAAAGCAAGAACACAATACAAATACCTTACATGATATGTGTGTACCCACAAACACTATCCATCTATGCGATTAAACATGATTCCGTTCACAGTTTATAAGCCATCGAAATCAAAAGCCGATCCGTCGATCTCGCTATACAAACTGCAATGCTCGCCATCCGAAATCAAACGAGGCCGACCTATTGCTAACAAGTGGTGCCCGGTTATCGTGTATCGTGAACCTCGTGCTTCTATCAGAGGCTTTTCATATAGGCGTCAATGCTCATGTATTCGCGTTTTACCGCTTCGTCTGCAGTGCGTTGTCTCGCTCGCTGTGATCTACAACATGTGGCTGACCATAGTGAGGATCACCTATAAAGAAATGAGCGATCAGGTAGGAAGAGTGACAGTCGCGGCAACGCATTCCACGCATGCATAGGGTGACAGCATAGCGCATTGAGACCGTACAAATTCGACCACCCTCCCCGTGAAGCCTTCCTGTTCCCTGCCAGAGGCACGCAGTAGCGAGTCAGGAGGCGACACCCGACTCTGCCAGCGCTTTGCGGACCGCGATAAATCGAGGACGTCTGATGCGTACAAATATGGGCTCAAGGATACAGAGCATGTCTAGTAATAAACATCATCTTATCCTATCACCGTCCTGGACATCATCTCTATCCTTGAACCCAAATATGTAATTGTAGAACGCTGCCTACTATCGGCGAATTACGGACCGACGCTCTCGCGTTACTTGCGTATTGCGTATATGTCACACCGGTGACTCGGACGCTGTGACTATTGCCTACTGTGACGCACCACAATGGCTATTGTTAATTATTCATCAGCCATTTTTCGCCGATAGCGCATAACGATTGCGATAGCAGGCGCGTCTTTTCGAGAGTATCATAATTAGTTGCAGCAAAAATAATTATAGGCTTTAAGGGCCGGACACACCAGGCGATGCCATCGGCCGATGGCATCGGCCGATGGCATCGGCGTGAAAATCGCCTGGTGTGTCCACTCAATCGCCGCCGATGGCATCGCCCGATGCCATCGGCCGATGGCATCGCCCGATGCCATCGCCCGATTTTACAATTCATCAGCCAATCAGAGTTGTTCAATGATACTGATGCCATCGGCCGATGCCATCGCCCGATGAAATCGCCTGGTGTGTCCACGACTGCGCGATGCCATCGGCCGATGGCGTCGGGCGATGGCATCGCCTGGTGTGTCCGGCCCTTTAAGCCGGGCGCACACGTGGCGATTTTAATCGGGCGCGGTGGCGGTAGCGTTGGCGGTGGGGGTGGTGATAGTGGTGGTGGCGGCGGTGGAGATGATGACAATGGTGATGACGATGACCTCGACGACGCTAGGCAGCAAAGACTTGGTGCTGAGCATTTATGCATTCCTCGCAGGGACCGCACGGCTGGGTGTTTTTCATCGCAGACAGTGTTACTGACCTCATCTACTTGCTTGACATCAGCGTGTCACGGCGCACGGCCTATCTGAAGCACGGACTGCTGGTAATCACTCTGTCTCCCCGACATGGACACACACGCGCGCAAGACATATCTCTGTACTGCTCGCAAACTGTTGGTACTTACAAAAATGTATTCGTTAAAGCGTTGTCATCGAAACTGGTTAAACGACTTAAATTTTCTAGAATACCATACATGCACAAATCGTGTAATCAACGTATGTTCAAATGCATTCACGTCCGCGGGGCAATGTATTATTAGACCGCGGTTACTATATTATACTATTCAAGATTACGATTTGTTTTAATCTATGTAGCGCTAAGCACGACGTATATATATATATATTTATTTATTGAATTAGTTAATTATATGCATATACTTAATATGATTAGTTGGTTGTAATTGGTAGTTAATATTGATTTGGTATGTTATTATTTCGTGTGACTAGTATATCCAAACTGGCACTGTTTAAACTAAGTACGTAGTGAAGTCATGAGACCTCACTTAGACGCATACGTAGTCTTCTCATATCGTTATAATATCGTATAATTATACGCACAAAATTATACGACTGCTCACGTACGTGATACACTGTGTACTGGTTGATTAATAAACACGGACTAACGTCGCTCGTAATGGCAGCATGGTTCTTAATAACATCGTGTTGATGATTCAGGTGAGCGACGTCAGCAGAATCGCTCGCCGGTATCGCAGCGGTGTTTACTTCTACCTGGATCTGGCATCCTTGTTTCCCGTGGCAACCATATCGCGTCTCGTCACAGGTAACATAATTCTCGAGAAAATGTTAGTACGAAACATGCCAAGAGCTAATAATAGCTATTATTATAGCTTGAAAATATTGACATTAAACTCGTCTTTCGTAACCGAGGCGACCTGTCGAAGCTTCTATATGCTTCTTTTGCGTCCCGAAATAGCATATAGTAGCGCTCTTCGTCGCAGGATAAGACCTGTAGTATTTGTAAATGACTGCACTTCCGCATAGAACTGTACGGGCGTCAGGTATCGCATTAAGCCCGGCGCACACGTGAGTTATTTTACTCAAGTAAAATGATGCATGCGTCAAAATACTCACGTGTGCGCCGAATTTTCGTTGAGCTTTCTGACGCATGCATCAAGAAACTCAATATCAAACATGTTTGATAATTTTTGACTCATGCGTCAAAATATTCACGTGTGCGCCGGATTTTCGTTGAGTTTTCTGACGCATGCATCAAGAAACTCAATATCAAACATGTTTGATAATTTTTGACTCATGCGTCAAAATACTCAACGTGTGCGCGCTAGCTGCGTAAATTTACTCAACACTGGTACTCACAGCGCATGCGTTTAAATCATTTTAAAGATAACTGCGCCCAGTATTGGCTGCGCACAGCCACGTGATCTACATTACCAATTATACCTTGAGTAATCTAATCATCTTTTTGAGATATCTAATTTATATCGATCGGCCCCCTTTATATCTCTTTTATATCACGACATTAATGACATTAAAGTTGGGAACGCTCCTAATGGAGCATCACCCTTTTACTTGAGTAAAATTACTTACGTGTGCGCCGGGCTTTAGGCACACCACACCCTATTCAGAACTCATCCTGTACACGCCTGGCAAGTGCAGATGACGCGAGCGCGCCACGACGAGGGGAGAGATATGGAGAACAACGTTTGTGCGAGCAGGCAAACATATTCACCGCGTCTGTGCGACCGAGAGCATATGAGTAGCTAACGATTGATCGAGAGTCCGAGGCGACAAATCGAGAGCAAACTGTTTTCTGCACGAAGTCGTTGAGACGTTCGCGCGTATAGAGAGCAGGCCGCTCTCTAGACGCGATATAAGCTTCTTAACATGCGCAGCACTAGGCCTTGAAGCACTTTCTCGCACCTCTCTCTCTCTCTCTCTCTCTCTCTCTCTCTCTCTCTCTCTCTCTCACTCTCGCGCGCGCGCTTTTCATTTATGTATTTTTCTTTCCCTTTCTCTTTTCCTCTCTTGATCTATCTATCTATCTATCTGTCTGCCTGTCTGTCCGTCTGTCTGACTGTGTGTGTGTGTCTGTCTGTCTGTCTATTGATCTCTCTCTCTATAATTATTTCATTTATCTATTCCTATCTATCTATCTATCTATACTATCTATCTATCTATCTATCTATCTATCTATCTTATCTATTCTATCTATCTATCTAATCTATCTATCATCTATCTATCTATCATATCTTATCATTCTATCTATCTATCTATCTATCTATCTATCTATCTATCTTATCTATCTACATCTATCTATCTATCTATCTATCTATCTTTCTTTCTTTCTTTCTTTCTTACCATTGGTGCATCGGTCTCGCTTGCTCTCACTTACTCTGTCGGCGCTCTCTCTCCGTCTCTTTCTTGGTCAGACACACATACACATTCACGGACACACGCACACCCTCCCCTCTCTCATTCTCTCGCTTTCCATCGCATGTCAAAACACAAAATCACAAAGATATCCGACTCGATATAACACGAGATTAATAAAAACCATCTTAGTTGCTGCCGAACGCAAGATATTTCCGAGCTGCATATGACAGCTTCCTTGTGATTTTATCCACAGGCACTTGAGACTGAGTCAGTAAAAACTGAAAATAATATGAACGCACATTCACCAATACTACCGTAGGCCTTACCTTTCAATTACAGTTCCACTGTTGTGTCACTGTATATCAACTTTCCTTCATATATAACTTTGTAAATTATATGTTATTATCATTATCATGGCGACACAGCAGCAACGCAGCACGCAGCGGCGAGTGCGGGAGCGTTCGGCGTTAGTTTTTATGAAGGAGAGTTGATATACAGTGACACAACAGTGGAACTGTAATTGAGAGGTAGGGCCTATGGTAGTATTTGTGAATATGCGTTCATATGATTTTCAGTTTTTACTGACTGTGTCCCAAGTGCCTGTGGTAGCATTATAGATTAAGACAATGAGCCTAATGGCTTACAGAAATAGCGTTTGCCGATTTGCTAATAATCTACGTTGTGATAGGGCCTATACGTGTACTAAGTGTTATATAGCTCGCGAGAAAGAAAATATAAATATAAATACGGAAATACAGATATCAATTTGTTAATTTTTGTAATTTTTTTATTTATAATATTGTTGATTATGCCAGAACGATGGACAACGCCTCTTCCCTACGGACGCTTGCTCAGGACAATGAAAATGTATTCTATGTGGAGGTTTTTTGGTTTAACCGATAGGTAAGCAAGTATATAGGCCTATGGTATATGAATTCACATTAAATACTTGCATACTTCCATACTTGAGTGTAAGTAAAGTAAAATATGTTCATGATATTTCTTACATTCTAATAGAAATGATTTCAATTCAAACGTATTACTATAGCACGGCGAAGAAGCATATATCTAGATAATAGTCTAATTAGGTCAGAATGATATTGATGCACACTTCCTTATCTTACTTACTGGCCCGTATTAAGATGGAATGGGTATCTCTTTTGCCGTCAAGTAAACATTTTTTTTCGCGCCTATCCTATCACTCACGCTCTTCCCCTCTCTTCCTCGCTTACGTTCTCTCTGTATCTCTTCCCCCCCCCCTCTCTCTCGCTCGCTTCTTCATTCTCCTTTCTGATCACTCATTCATTAATATATCTACTATCCACTGCTTTTTTCTTCAGTCGCACAAATTTTCCGAATATCATTAGAGCCGCAAAGCTAATGCTATACTTAGCCTTGGTGATGAATTGGATCGCCTGCTTATACTATCTCATCTCAGAGGTACGTACGTCCTATGTGCGGTGTATTTGCGCGCACTCACTGAGATTATACAGTCAATGCATTAACATGCAGTCAGAGATTGCCTTGTGTTATATTACGGCAATAGTGAGACTCTGAGCAGTATACATATTGCTTATTAGGTCATGTGCCACTAACTCAATCTGTTCTCTAATATAGTCCCCGTATATGCACGGTATCTTTCTTTATACGCTCTTGACGGTATATATAAAACGGTGTAACAGTGTTTATCCCTATATTAATAAAGCCACCATGGGTACCACTCCGTGACAAGAGGCTATATATGCAAACCGCGATCACCAATAACCACGGCGATGCGCTTTATATAGTTAACATGTCAACAAAATATGCTAGACATTGGTAGATATAGTTAAGTATATGTAGTGAATTGTTATTGCTATATCTGCCTATAACCCTCTCGCTCTCTTCATAATTCCATAGGCCGAAGGTCAAGGAAGCAATGACTGGGTGTATCCCAGCATCGCTGGCAATCAAACGTTTACGAGGTAATATAACCAGCATTCACATTCCAGGATTTGCATATGAAAGTAGTGTGTATGTTATATGTAGCTGACGTTTATACGTGTACATCGGGTATTGGGTAATATCAAGGTAATATCAGACATTAGAAATAACATGACCGCCAGCTTCGCGTGTATTAACTGTTACGTGATTTGACCGTCGATATAATACCATGATTAGCGTTGCTGTTTTCTAACTACATGTAATTTTTAACATGTCCGCTATCCGCAAGCATTTTATACTTTCTATAAATACTTGGGAAAAATACCGCTAGAAATTCAGTCGTGATTCCACGTCAACCTGCGAAGTACTTATAGGCCGATCGCACGACAGCATCATTTAAAAAATGGTCATTTAAACCCATGGACTGTGTAAAAGCCCGCCGCCTAGCTAGCACACAGACAACGTATCAGGTGAAGGCTTACGAGCGCAATAACCGTGCAGCTCTCATACGACAGGCGCGATGTTTGCGTTACAGTAAGTACATACGCTGCATGCACTGGGCTCTCATCACGCTGACGACTATCGGAGGAGCAGCCAATCCCGTCACTGACATCGTACGTAAACCCTCTCGCGCGAAATACGTGCATCGCACAGGTACCATCATCATTATCATCATCATCATCATCATCATCATAATCATCATCATCATCATCATCATTATTATCATCATCATCATCATCATCATAATCATCATCATCATCATCATCATCACTACCATCATCATCATCATCATCATCATCATCATCATCATCATCATCATCATTATTATTATCATCATCACCAGTCAGAGACCCACTACATGCATACATCGAACTTTCATCATTATCATCATCACCAGTCACACCCGCAACTTCCATACATCACACTATCAACATTTATCATCGTACAATAGCGAATACATGGATCGCACAAGTATCATCATCATCATCATCATCACCACAGGCACTTGTGACACCAAGTGTGACACTTGTGACACGTTGACACAATGGCACACTTGTGACCTCAATTACACTTCCACTATTGTGTCACTGTATATCAACTTGCTTTCACAAAAACTAACGCAGAACTAGCCGCTCCCGCACTCGCCGCTTCGAGTGTGCTGTGTCGCCATTATAGTGATATCAACCGCGTATAAAGAAGGCTTTTTCTTTATTTTAAGGCTGCTTCTTTATACGCTCTTGGTGATATATATATAGAGGTGTGATATAGAGGTGTGTATAGAGGTGTGATATATATCACTACAATGGCGACACAGCACACTCGAAACGGCGAGTACGGGAACGGCTAGTTCTGCATTAGTTTTTGTGAAAGCAAGTTGATATACAGTGACACAACCATACGACACAACAGTGGAAGTGTAATTGAGGGGTAGTATTTGTGAATGTGCGTTCATATATGTTCAGTTTTTACTGACTCTGTCCCAAGTGCCTGTGATCATCACCAGTCACACCCGCAACTTCCATACATCACACTATCAACATTTATCATCGTACAATAGCGAATACATGGATAGCACATGTATAACATCCGTGCATCACCTGTGCAACTAAGTAATTTACGCTAAGTCAGAACACATACATCGCACCTGTAACATTGTCAGTCACGCGTGTAACATCTACACAACGCACTTGCAACGTATATCGTCAGATCATGCAGCATCAATGTGACGCACCTCGATCATTACAGTAAAAGTAGATAATAGAAGATTCTATTAGATTCTTCTAGATTCTTCTAGATTCTATAGATCTAGATTCTTCTAGATTCTTCTAGATTCTTCTAGATTCTATAGATCTAGATTATTCTAAATTCTTCTATTATCTACTCCTGATTACAGTATAACGCCTGTAACAGTTACAGCATGCACCCGCACTGCTAATACCTTCCCCCTGCAACGTTCATCCGCATCCACTTCATGATGGATTCAAACACCATACTGGAAATATCGGTTTCTAACAACTAAAACATCGATCGGTACCTTACAGCTATCATATCAATACGTCACGCTTGTAACATTCTAACATCACGCCCGCGGCGATCAAACCTTACACGTGTAGCATTCATATCTCACACCTGCGACATTAATATCCTTCCTCACTTCCACGATATCAGGGGGTTAATAATGACAAATTATTGACATTTATGCCCTGATGATATTCATGCCCTGTACATCACTTTGGCCTCACACTAGCTACATTACAACCATATACCTGGAGCATTCATATCTCACACCTATAGCGTTCTTGCTTCGCACCTGCATCATTTCACTCACATGCCTGCAACATTTGAAGTGCACGCCTACTACATCATTCATATTTCAAACTTGTGACATTTCAACCTCGCACCTATGGAAATCATGCCTCACACTCGGGTTGTTCAAATCATGTGTTATTCTTTGAAAGTCCATCGGTAATTCATTATTGTAAACCGCAAATTAACAAGCCCATTATTTTCACGAAATAACTGTAACAACGGCAGCCATCGTTCGTTTGTGATTAACGAACATTATAAAGCTGGTTACGCAGCCGAACTAATAAGATGGTTATGACTTGCTGACAAGCTGTTAGCGGTGAATTGATTAAACTTAGTTTCTCTTGTCTATTATTAACTTCAGTTCCACAAGCTATTAAAGCATGGCATGAAAACTGACAAACAGAAAACAAGGGAGGGAGGGGAGAGAAAGAGGGAACATGTGAGTGGACGAGAGAGACATCAATATCGGCTGGTGGATGGATGAATTGATGGATGGATAGATGAATAAATCGATAGATGGATGGATGGATGGATGGATGGATGGATGGATGGATGGATGGATGGATGGATGGATGGATGGATGGATGCATGCATGGATGGATGGATGGATGGATGGATGGATGGATGGATGGATGGATGGATGGATAGATGGATGGATGGATAGATGGATAAATGGGTGAATGGATGGAAGGATGGGTGAATGAATGAATGGGAGGATGGATGGGTGAATGGATGGAAGGATTGGTAAATAAATGGATGGGAGGATGAATGTGTGAATGGATGGAAGGATGGGTAAATGAATGGATGGGTGGATGAATAAATGAATGGATGGACGGTCGGACGGACGGAGAGACGGGAGAACGAATAGATCCGTATAAAAAAGAATGGGCAAATAAATGCACTGGAGCTTGAATGAATGCATAGATAGATGGAAGAGCGAGTCTGCTTAGGATGCTAGACCTACGGAGGTGTCTTTTCGAGAGTACATGTAAAACTCTGCTGCCACATCTAGTCATATCGTGAGTAGCACGCGTAAATTTCCACTGACTTGTTGTCTTTCTTTTTTTGTCTTTACTTGCGCGTGATTGGCCATCTTGGGACATGCAACCCAATGACGCGCGCGCGCAGGAATTCCTCTTCACTGGAGTGACGTACATGTTAGGCCTATTCGTGTTTGCAGCAGTGGTTGGTAACGTCGGCAACGTCATCAGCAACATGAATGCTGCACGACAGGATTTCCAGACCAAGTAATTAGTTGTTGTCCCTCATACCGGACTGATCTGTACATCATGTTTAACCTATCGCTATTATGCGATTGCGAAGTCCGACGGGAAAACGGGGAAATAGTGCTATTTTACGGCAAAATTATATACTCTCTAAAAGAAGACTAACCGCTTGTCTCTACGACACTACTAGGCTGGGATATCGGTTCGTAATCTTACCTCCTACAGGCCTCAGGGCCGTCTACCGGCCGACGATAACTCAACCATTCCGCGCCTAGCTTTGGGAGTGTTCGGGTACTCTGTCTATTTGATCAACTTTGTCTCTCTCCGTCTTCGATATAGTCCCTTCAACTTTAAAGACTAATCTTTATGGGGTTAGTAATCGAAGAACTAGTAGTGCTCTGCCGCTGCCTAGGTTGACGCGTGTAGTACATACACGGTACAGTGTCTATATGGACAGTCGACATTTGATGATAGGTCGATTTCATGACTCGTGACTGCGTGGCTAGATTAGTCTAAAATAGATACTGCTAAGTCACAGTATGATCAAATATGACTTGCCCCTAAATTGTCAGATTCTAACAACCGTTATATGAGATGTTACATACTCGTACTTGCTGCTGACACTGTAAAATATAAACCGTGGTATCGCTAGCTTCAAGCTTCATACACTAATAGATGGGTTCAAGCCATATATTCCCAGTACCTCCCCCTTTCATAGGTTAATGCTGATAGCGGCTAGCTGAAGTGAGTATAAGGTTCGTGATAATCTATTCCCTAGGCCTTCATCTCTTAATATCTTTCCTAGCACGGCTAAATTGCCAGTATTAATGGAACCGGCCATGTTTTCTGAATTGAAATACCGCTGCGCAGCTACTATATGGTGTAGTAAGAGGACCAAATTTAGGCGTGTGACGTCAATTATCAGCACTCCAAGCGGCGACGGAAAACGATAGTCAAAAAGCCGAAGCGAGTTTAGGCGTGGAATGGGTGAGTTATCCTCGGTCGGTCGGTCGACGGCTCTGAGGCCTGTAGGATGCAAGATTACGACCCAATATCTCAACCTCAGAGTGTCGTAGAGACAAGCAGTTGGTCTTGTTTTAGAGAGGAAAAAATGCTTCCTAACGCAATGGTTCCTAACGCAATGCTTCCTTAACGCAATGCTATGAACTTAGTCTAGACTTGCAGACGAAGTAGAATAATATTGCCGTGAAATAGCACTATTTTCCCGTTTTCCCGTGGCACACTCTAGGTATTATTAGCTCTTGATGATATGATATGATATATATATAATCAGGGATAATTGGTCACGCAGTAGGATAGCACACGTAGTACAATACCTTGCGATTTAACTTAACTTATGTATTTAATTTTGCAGGATGGATGCGTTAAAGTTTTACATGAACAGACGCGGTGTGCCGGAGGAATTGCAGAACAGAGTTAAACGCTGGTCGAACTACGCCTGGACACGGTGGGTGTGGTGTGCAGAGAACCGTACCTAATCTTTGAGTTAATTTAGAATATGGAGTATTTCGACTCAGTGAAGGAATTCGACCCTTCTGCCATATAATTATAGTTCTATAAAAATTAGTTAAATGTGTTCCGAATTACTGTTACATGTCAAAATAACCCAATCAAACTTACGACTTTTTCTGAGGATTCTTCTGAGTGATTGAAATCTTGCTGAACATGTGCAAGCATGAACACGCACGCGCTCGCACGCATATACAAATTTAACCGTGCGCGCACACATAACCAGTGCTACGTCAATATAATAGACACGTTTCCCCGATAAATGCCATTATAATTGCTTGTTTGGTTTACTTGCTTTGCCACTATCTGAAGCTAATTTGTGAATATGATTTTCGATCAGTACTGACGGCTTGATAAGCCCCTTAGCGTCTGTAATTGACTTTGACGATAGATGCAAATAAGGACTATGGATATATATATATATATAGCTGTTGCGGATGACAGAGCTCGTGTTGGATGTATAAATGCCAAACAATGTTATAGTGTTTCCAGCTGTAGAAATAATTAATCACTAGTAAGTAGTCGAGTTGATTAGTATTCGGATGAAATAATATGATATCATCAGGAGTGTATCAATATTGATACACTCCTGATATCATCCACACTCATATTTTCTGACAGTGGTATTAACTTATAACACTTATTAAGCTTTATTCAAACAACCAATCTATCTATCTATCTATCTATCTATCTATCTATCTATCTATCTATCTATCTATCTATCTATCTATCTATCTATTTATTTATCTATCTATCTATCTATCTATCTATCTATCTATCTATCTATCTATCTATCTATTTATTTATTTATCTATATATCTATCTATCTATCTATCTATCTATCTATCTATCTATCTATTTATCTATCTATCTATCTATTTATCTATCTATCTAACTCTCCATCCATCAACTTATAAATCAACCATTCAACTTAAATATCAAGCAACTAAGCAACTAATCACTCAATCAGTCCAATCATCGATCCACTAATCATTCCCAGATAATAAACAAATCAATCCATCTAATCAGACAGAACATTCAACCTAACCAGACAACGTCTTTGTCCTAGTAATAAAATCCCGATGATGATTGGTTTCAGGAATCATGGTATGGATGACGCTGGTTGCTTGGAGATTCTGCCGCCTCGCATGAGGGCTGAAGTTGCTATACAGGTACACCTGGAAACGTTACGAAAGGTACGAGTTAATTAACATACAGTATGTTTGCACTATAATACGCCAAATATTTTGGGCTATAACTCGATGAACGAATCTGGGTGATATATTTCGCATAATATTTTTTCCGTTCCATCCTATTCGCGTAATAATCCAGCGGAAATTGGCGTTTGCGTGTGGCCAAACTACACGCACCTGCGCATAATTAACGTACAGCGTCTTGCAGATGTAACTAACATCCAAAGGTTAGTATAAAATGATAGTATGCCTGCGCGGTGACGATTATTCGCAAGTTTGGGCAGTACTAATTACCGCTAACTGTACGTAAATCTCGACCGACATCTTGTTCTATAATTAAGCGCGTGTGATATGCAAATGTACGTATAACTGCATGAGCGCCACTGTTATAACGATAGTAGAGTTGTGAATAAATTTAGGACTATAGTGGAAAAATAGAACTAGTATTACTCATAGCTATTTCACTATACCTACTAGTATAAATAGAGATATAGGTCAATGCATCTAGGTATGACAGCGATTTTCAATGATCGTCATAAAGCCGTCAATTGGATGAGATATGGTAGCAAATCTATAGTAGCGATATTACGTGCGACGAACAACCACAGTTGGCCAACAAAACGCATCCCAGAATGGACGCGATAGGTTGCTATGACAACAGGAGCAAATAAAACCTGTTTTCATTCACGCCTAATGACACGGATATATATTGCCCGTACCTCTCCATCGTTTATAACAGACACAGCGCATCGTGAAGCTACGATCACTACGGCAACAGTGCTGAAGAAATTACGCACCGACAGTACTAGGTGTCGAATCTTTCGATACAGCAATACTTACCTGTAGATCTGTGTAGATTATGGTTTTAAAGAATAATTTCTAGAACCATTCCAGGCCGAATAGCACCTAATCTAATCTAATAATGCAATCTAATCAGTTGAAATTATAATGGAACAATATTGTGAAACAATTGTACGCTCTGAAGTGAAACCATGGCATGATACTTGACATGATGATAGTACATGACCTACTAATAAATTTTTGATACAAATTCCCTTCGATTTAAAAAAGGAATTATTGATAGCCACAAAGATATGCAGTAATCTTGATCAAATCGTCTTTCTCAGCGTTATTATATAATGTCATAACAACTTTAAAGTGATCAACTTATAAGTCACCGTAAATAGTAAAAAATAAAAATAATATTTCTACTTTTTCACAAAATATAAGTAATTCTGTTCACTTTTTATGATGAAATTGCTGCATTATACTTCTTATTTTACTATATTGTTCGATGTGAACATACACTCGTGACGCATACATAGCGCATAGCAAGCAATTAATGTCAGGAACACTAATATCAAATCGACCAGGTTTCTTAGATTTTTAACTAGTTGAGAAACAATCTTATCAGGTAAGAATTTGACGATACGTTTAGTCCCGTTAGCTCTTACTTTTAATTTTTTTTAAATGGCAACAAAAATTTTACAAATTTTACCCTAGAAAATTCGTGACGTAGTCAATTTAACGTCATCGTGCAACTTGGCAAAATTGCATTATATAACCTAGTGGCCAATTGGATTTGTTTCCAAAATGACTGCCTAATTCAAGATGACCTCCAAGATATACAACAACCATGAACGCCCAAATCCCCCTTCTCACATTGGTTGGTCTAACTTCATCATGCAACGTGGTCTTAAATTGAAATTACATTAGTGATCACTGCACATCTAGTGATAATATCTAATATAGAATCAGTTTTATGGGTTTTTTCCAAACCGACCGCCAAATTCAAGAGACCCAACAAATGTTTCTCATGTTCTCATGTTCTCATGTCTCATGTTCTCATTATATACATGTTCTCATTGTCTACATGTTCACATTCTACATTGTTCTCATTGTTCTCAACGCTACAAAGTTCTAATTACAGGATGGTTGTTAGGTGTATGAATCATCTGCTTAAGGCCGCCGCACACCAGCCGATTTTACAAACGATGAAGCGATGAAGCGATGAAGCGATGAAGCGATGAAGCGATGAAGCGATGAAGCGATGAAGCGATGAAGCGATGAAGGTGTGCGGCGGCCTTAAAATCGGCTCATCGGCTCATCGGCTCATCGGTTCAAAATCAAACATGTTTGATTTGGAACGATCACCCGATAAAAATAAAATCGTCTACAAATGAACGCGCACACCTACATCGCTTCATCGCTTCATCGCTTCATCGCTTCATCGCTTCATCGCTTCATCGTTTGTAAAAATCGGCTGGTGTGCGGCGGCCTTTACAGTGCATAATTCTGGCATCTTATTCGCGAGCGAATTGTGTGGCAAAACCTGCATGTTGCAGTATCCCTGGTTTTAGTCGATTATTTTTAGTCGACTAACAAACAGATGCCATTCCTGTGGCTCTATGAGTATTTTATTTTAAAAGAAAATCTCGTGAATCACCTAACCTCAGTTAGGTTCAGTTTAGTTAGTTAGCCGATGTTCAAGGTTCAAGTGGCAAACGTTTTCTGGGCAGAATAGTATGAAGTTGTTAACACTATATTGTCAGCAAGTTGACTCTATTGACGCTCAACTACATTCAGTGACTGATCTTTTGTTCTTGATGACACTTGTAGCAGAAATTAAATTAGGAAAAAGTTCCGGTTCCGGCCGACTGTTCCTGAAGGGTTCCGGCCAGAACCGGAACTTTGACAAATTGGGGATCCGGCCGGATAGTTCCGGTCGGATAGTTCCGGCCGGATCCAAGTTCCGGTGCACCCCTAGTCATTATCAAATCTCCAAATTGATTAAAATTCTCCAACTTGGTGATATTTACTTCAGTATGCTACTTGGCACGGTGATATTACCATGATATTACGCATCCTACTCATTTTCTTAGCAAGTCACACTTCGATTATTTTTTCAAAGTTCGCTAAATTCAAAATAGCCGGCAAGATGGTACAGAAATCGTGATAAAATCACATTTCTTGACTTGATTGGTTTAATTTCAGCATGCAACATGGCTCGCTAGCAATAAACACCATACTAATTTATTTCTATTAAACGACACATTTCTGAGAAAATGGCTGACAGCATCCAGATATTGCGTGTTTCTTCTATCCACAGCTGTAAATGTCTTGCCAAGTCAGACAGGCAAACTGGATGAATTCTTTGCTAAAGAAAATCTCTCGATTGTGAAAACTGCGCCTGTCATCTACATCCGGTCACATACTGAAAAGCTGTTAAATTGGACAGATATAAGTCCAGCAGTTTTTGTGGTTATGATCAATGGGACAGCTCTTGTAAGCATGTTTAAACTAAGTAGTGCATGTGAATCATTTTGTGATTATGCACAGAAATTGTGTCAGAAACCAGTTGCGTCATGCTAAAAGGGTTGATATAGCATGGTATATTTATAACTTAGAGAGCCTTTCGACTAATACTCGCAGCAATCGCGGGATAGGAACCTGCCGTAGAGTGGAACCTAATGTTCATCTACTAACAAACTGGGGTAACTTCCTACATATTAATTTCTAAATTGGGAAACCCAGATCGAGGAAAATCATGTATTATCAGCCAAGGTGGCTATTGTTTCCGCTACATCTGAAAGTAATGTTAACGACATTTTCCTATTACATGCCGCATTAACAGGCCGATATCGAACTACTCTTTCATGTCAAAGATAGCGTAAAGCAAGGTTTTCGAATGTTGCGAGCAGTAGAGCTGAGAGGGTCTATGTCCCCCGAGGTACTGCCGTAACGTACCCTGGGTACGGTCCGGTATACAGGAACGTACCCTGGTACTATCTAATATGCCGGACCGTACCTCGCCTACTCCACTAACGAGTCTAGGGAGTCGCCTATGCCTACTCCCTAACCCTAACCCTAACCATAATCCTAACCCTAACCATATCAAATAGTAACCAGGGTACGCTCCGGTATACCGGACCGTACCCAGGGTACGTTCCGGCAGTACCCTGGGGGACATAGACCCTATGGGCAGCAGGCGACTCTCGGCTTTTGCTGGAGACCCATGATATGGGGTTACAATTTGGAACTGGTATGAATTTCAGACAAATTGCTATTCATGCCACATAGTTGTGCCAGGTGAATCTGGGTGCACTTTTTCTCCTTCATGCACTCACTACTCACAGCTTTTGGTGCCGAGGGATATCCACGGCTTGGTGTGCTTGCTTGGGTGGCAGATGTCGCAGATGGATTTCCCTCGTTAGCGCAGGCCCCTATAGCAGCGGATATTGTAACTGCTTTGTCATAGATTGACCGTTTCAATAGCCTCGTCTACACGACGAACCTTAACTCGAGTTAAGCTAACTCGAGTTAAGCGTTAATTCGAGTTAGCGATTATGTAGCGTCTACACGACGAACCTTAACTCGAGTTAAGCTAACTCGAGTTAAGCGTTAATTCGAGTTAGCGATTATGTAGCGTCTACACGACAACACCCGATAGCGATTATTACCGATTTATTATGCGTGCGTGCGTGCGTGTGTATGTAAACGTGCGTGTGTGTGTGCGTGCGTGCGTGTGTACGTACACGTGCGTGCGTGCGCATGCACGTGCGTGCATGCGTGAGTGCATGCGTGCGTGCGTGCATGTGCACGTACACGTGCGTGCGTGCGCACGTACACGTGCGTGCGTGCGTGCGTGTGTACCTACACGTGCGTGCATGCGTGCGTGTGCAAGTACACGTGCGTGCATGAGTGTGTGCGTGCGTGTACACGTGCGTGCGTGCGTGCGTGTGTGCGCGCGTGTGCATGTGCACGTAGACGTGCATGTGTGCGTGCGTGCGTGCGTGTGTACGTACACGTGCGTTCGTGCGTGCGTGTGTACGTACACGTGCGTGCATGCGTGCGTGTGTACCTACACGTTCGTGCATGCGTGCGTGTGCACGTACACGTGCGTGCATGCGTGCGTGTGTACCTACACGTTCGTGCATGCGTGCGTGTGCACGTACACGTGCGTGCGTGCGTGTGTACATACACGTGCGTGCATGCGTGCGTGTGCACGTACACGTGCGTGCAAGCGTGCGTGCGTCCGTGTGTGTGCATGTACACGTGCGTGCGTGCGTGTGTGCGCGCCTGTGCAGGTACACGTTCGTGCGTGCGTGCGTGCTTGTCTAGGTACACGTGTGTGCATGTGTGCGTGCGTGCGTACGTGCGTGTGTGTGAAGGTACACGTGCGTGCGTGCTGCATGCATGTGCACGTAGATGTGCGTGCGTGCGTGCGTGTGCACGTACACGTGCGTGCATGCGTGCGTGCGTGCGTGCGTGCTTGAGTGAGTGCGTGCGTGTGCACGTACACGTGCGTGCATGCGTGCGTGTGCACGTACACGTGCGTGCATGAGTGTGTGCGTGCGTGTGCAAGTACGCGTGCGTGCGTGCGTGTGTACGTACATCGTACTAGTGCTGCCGCCTATCGTGGAGGTTAAGCTAACTCGAGTTAAGCGTCTACACGGGCCTTACCTTAGGTAACTCGAGTTAACTTAACCTCGATCGACTGGCGAGGTTAAGCTAACTCGAGTTAACGCTAACTCGAGTTACCTTACTCGAGTTAAGGCCCCGTGTAGACTCTTAACCTCGATCGACTGGCGAGGTTAAGCTAACTCGAGTTAACGCTAACTCGAGGGTTCGTCGTGTAGACGAGTCTACAGTCTTGATTCATGATGAAAGTAGCGACAGAATGGTACGTGTATAATTATTTTCGCGTAGAACGGAAGGTACATGAAGAGCATATCAAACCTTACACAGAAAAAAAATCACAGCATCACTAAATCGAATCAGAAATCGATCACGAGGTTAAGCACTATACACATGCCGAGAAGATTTCGCCCATTTTATGTACAATATTACTGGACTAATATTATTATAGTTACCGATACTCAACTCTTGTAACAGCTGTTCTTGTACATGGTAACCTCTTGCTTGACCTACGCTGCGAATCACGCTGTGATCACATTTTAGAAAGGCCCACTGGAATTTTTGTTCTTGAAACGAGACGGTTACATGATCTTATTCATGAATCAGCTCTTCGTTGTAAAGTTTCGAAATTAGTCAAGCTAACATACAAAAGCGACTGTGTACTTAGCATAATCTTTCTCGTAATTATAATCCTGTTTTTAACGGACAGCGGGATCATATTTTGCGGACACGCCAGCGTCTTATATTTGTACAATAATGATAAAAATTAGATGAAATGTTTGCGTGCGTGCGTGCATACACGCGTGTGCGCGCGTGTGTGAATACAACGGCGTTAATACAAGTGCGTACCATGTAGGGCCTATTAATGCAATTGAATACTTGTACTTGCAGATGAATCTAGGATAATATCTAATTCTATTTTTATTTTCAAGGTTAGGATTTTCGAAGATTGCGAAGAAGGTGTGCTCTGCGAACTGGTACTAAAATTGAAGCCCCAGATATTTTCTCCTGGAGATTTTATTTGCAAGACTGGCGAGATAGGTGCGATAATATCCGTCACGGTGTATACACTTACTGTACAGCGGATATTCTCGGAAGATTATACGTGGCAATACGTTTTAATCATGTGATACTATTTTTGTATTTTTGTACGTATACATTCAAAATGTGATACTAACTTTTTCATATTTAGTGGCAATTTGTGAAATAAACGGACAAAGGGAATAGTAAAACCCGCCGTTAAAATCATATTGAACCATAAAACTATACCGAAACGACGCTTTATTTCAGGGAGGGAAATGTACATCATAAATCACGGTGTCGTAGAGGTAAGTGATTCGTTCCTGCGCACGGAAGTTTTCATTCTTATAGTAAAAATCACACAGTTTTGCACGTGCGTTCCTTACTATGATAATTAAACAGAAAATAATAGGGTTTGTTGCCAGCTCGAAAGGCCGGCATTACCTGTGAGATCGCCCCCGCGGGAAAAATGCGCTGATGATAGCTGTGCTCATGATAGGTGAGTGTGAAGTGTGCCAGCACTGATGAACGGACAGTAGTGGCGACTCTACAGGAAGGAAACTACTTCGGAGAAATCAGCCTTCTGGAGCTACACTCCAGTCAAAAGTACTTCTGATGGTTTTTGATCTCCCGTCCACGCCACCGTCCGTCTCGCTCATCTCCTCCTCTTTCGCCTCTTATCTCTCTTGCTGTTTCTTTATTGCTTTCTCACTCGGCTTCGATATCGCTCTCTCCCTATCTCTCTCATTTCCTCTCGCGCTATACAGTGTCTGCATTTATCTTGGAAGTTGTATCCGATAAGGTAATTCAGATTACATCAACGCACAGGGAGATAGCGAGGCTGTCGTAAAACGAATATCCCTCAACATCAGCGCATGAATGCAACCAATCTCTTCGCTGCGCAGATTTTATTGAAAATTTCGCAAACGAATTTTAAAATCAATGAAGAGAAACCTCTTTCCTAAACGCTCTTTGCAAACATACTTCTATATATATATATATTCATTGCAGGCGAACGGCTGATGTTCGCTCAGTTGGCTACTCTGAACTACTAGTGCTGTCAAGGAAGGATCTCATGTCTGTAAGTATATTTGGTTGAGAACTCGGTTCTACAGGTTTCCTATAACATTTGAATCACTTACTGTAGCTTTCCTGCCCCTTGTAGCATTACGCCGTGGTACTGTTTATACTGACACTGTGCGAATTATAACTATAACAAAAAGCTTGTAACTTGAGCGTAGCAATTACCAGTTATGCAAAACCATTATATTATTCAGAGTATGGTATAAGTTTTTTTGTACACGTTATATCCCCTTAACATGTAACAGGCATACTTGGGAAATACCAACTAGCCTCACGCGCATGAATAACGCCATTTTATTGTTCTTGTTTTGGGCTTGTTTTGTTATGTTTTTTTGTTTATGTGTAATTTTTTGTTTTTGTTGCAGCTAGGAAAATTGTGTAATGCTAACTATGTGTGTGGTTGGACGGATCTAGTGTGTAGCGCCATTGAGTTTGAACTGAAAGGTCTAATTAACGGTCTTTATCTGTGCCACTTTCACTTTATCCCAGTTAGCTTCAGTCAACAGAATCAATGTTATAGAATAGTTATCGAATATTATAGTTTAGACCACATGGTATAGAAATCCGTCATCCCGCCGGCGATGAGGCTAAAAACTTCAGCCGCATAACAGCGAGTGTCTTTGTCGGAAGAACTCTGTTGAGGAAACCAAAATCAACCGTTGTCATCGGTACGACCTTAGTAACGATCTTAGTAACGACGGAGATGAAGATCCCGCGAACTAACAACGCGTATGCGCGTAAATTACAAGCTCAGTTCTGTTCTCTTCACCAGGCACTCGTAGAATATCCGAAGACGCGTGAAGTTCTCGAAGCATTCGCCGAGGAAAGGTATATAAGAGTATTGACAATGCTCACTGTACGCGGACTTGCTTGCGTACCATTTATAATAATAAACATAATTATTTATTAATTATAATTAATTTTTATTATTATTAATTTATTTAATTATTCATTAATCATTAATCATTAATTTCAATTATTATTAATTTTAATTATAAACATTTCCCATAATATAATAACTGGCAGAGATCGAAAAGTTGCTAAAAGTAATTCAAATGCCGTTTCACGACCATTAGGGTGCGACCGCACACAGAGCGATAGGTTGGTGATAATTTCATTAGTACTAGTGAATGAATAAGTAAACGAATATATGAAGGAGCGAGTGAACAAACGGCGGAACGGACACACCAACATAAAATAAAACGAACGGACAAGCAAACGAATCTACGAATGAACAAACGAATGAACGAACGAACGAACGAACGAACGAACGAACGAACGAACGAACGAACGAACGAACGATTGGCCGAAAGAACGAGGGAAAGAGTTAATGAAACAAGATAAAAATATTAAGCAATTTACATATCGATTAAAAAGTAGTTCTATATAAACTCTAATTGCAATAATGAATAGTAATCTTGCTGTACGACCGTTTTCAGAATTCTGAATGTGCTAGAAAAGTCATGACCTCTCAAGACGTGACCCTACCTACAACCATGGCAGTTCCTTTCTGATATCACCCGACGATGGTGCAGCATATGGGGATTAAACTGTCGATTTTACACGGCAGATGGCAGCACAGTGTTACTCATTGCCGGCGCGCGCGGTCGCAGATGCGCGGCTACTGCAATCATAAGTCATACCCGATACAATAAAAGACATTACCTGTGAGCAATTACTTCCTGCTATTGCATTTCAAAGAACGTCACCGTTATTGTAATCGGGCGATATACCTGTTTACTACGAAAGACACCTGCTGTTCACGTAGTTAGTATTACTTCCGTACGATGTACTGCATTAATCCGGTATCTCAGACTCGCTGTTATTCTCGCCCCGGAAAATTCTAACAGCGTATTACCAAAATGTACAGTCCATACTTTCCTGCTCTCTGCTGGAGCCTAATACCTGGTACCCTGGCAGGAAATTCCCTTGTCGCTAACGAAGCTTATATTCTCTTTCTTATTCCTTGATAGAACCAACCCTGGTTCGCAGAGAGAGCATAACCCGCTCTGCGTGAAATTTTTAGTTCCTTCCTTTCCTACGAAATTTGTGCTTCATCAATTTGTCAGCACATATCAAGTTATCTTCAAGCTTGAGATCCTCTTCTGATTTTAATGCTTCTTTAATTATCTCTCTCTCTCTAAATCATAGCTTCCGAATCACAAAACCACGTTATCAATCTTTATACACATCGTACCCAACCCACATATTGCATGGGGTATATCATTTGCGTGATACAAACGTGTGTGTGCACTACGGTATGTACAGTGTATGTTCACAAGCTTGCACAACTGTATGTTGCACTATATATATTACGCTATAACTATTACGAATTTCGCACGTCATGTTACACCATGTTTAACCGTATAGGTTATATGTCGCATTCGTAAGACGCACTAACTCACATGTTACGCATAGGTTCCGCGTATAATATCGCTACTAAATCACTCCTTATAGGCATATACAAATAACGGAATACTGAGACACGTATATAGAACATAAAAACGTCTTTAATAGAACATAGGTAATACTACCGTAGACGCCATATGCCAAGCATCGACGGTTACAAAAAGGTACGCGTAGGAATATAACTTACATATCACGGTCTAGATGAATACGAAAGTATCAACTGTAGGTTAAGACACGTCTATCTTAGTAGGTAGCAAATAGTGGAGAGAGTCTGATTGGAAGAAACACGCGTTAAGTACCTACGTCTCCCTATTGTCTTGGCTCGGGTCACCTTGTTCCCCTCGGCTGCTGAGCCATTTCTATTGACCGGTGGTCACGCTGCCTGGCTGACTCTCTCATTGGTTGACATGTACGGGGTCAGCTACGCGTCGTTGATTAGCGATTACACAAAGGCTTGACGCCTACTGCTTACTAAGTTCGGTTATTATTAAATTGTACATATTTTTGTATTACATTTGCTGGTGCTAAATAGTACAATGATTCGAATAATTACAGTTTAAATTCACAGCTAGCATACAAATAACATCGTACAGTTAAATTCAAACTTACTGCTTTGCCCGGACATACAACTACTTGCACCTTTGACCTTTACATCATCAAATAACAGTGGCAGATACCTGGAAATCAGATTACAATATTTTCCAACCCGTTTCTAACTACACATGAATAAAATTACCAATAGGTGCAATCATTCTAAACTCTATCAATGTCAATGTTGCTATTCGGTTCTTAACAATAAGACATGAATGAGTTGACCACTTCCCAAGTTATGCAATGCAGTTTTCTAGATTCAGAGTAATCCGGCATTAAATTATGCAAACTAATGAGACGATCCCTAACAGAAATTCCGGCGAATTACATGCCTTTTAGCATCCTAATAACGTTCTAAATCCTAACAATCATCAATCAACAAATTACTCTATAAACTAAGGTTGGTAAACTATACGATCTATACGGTAGGCATGACTGTTTACGTTCGTTTAACACGTCGCGGCACGTATTCTCAATGGCTACAGTAACCTCAATATCAGTCTAAAAGTGAAACCCGCGGTGACCAATGAACTTCCTTTGTTTGATAAATTTTGAATTAGCTGGCTAACATTAATATCAGTTATATTGCAGCAATCACGGTAAATATCATAATAATCAGAGCATCTCGTTATTCTATAAAACTCAACTAGACCATGGTCAAGAACAAACAGATTCTTTCCAGACAAATAGTAAATTAATCGCTTGTTCCCAGAGCGTTAATTCCAAACAGATATACCATGCTAGGCTTCCATGTCTACGGGTGTCACTTTCTCCCGGTCGTAGAGGGAGGGTGCCGCTACATGGCAGCACTAGTGTTAGGGTTAGGGTTAGGGTTAGAGTTAGAATTAGGGTTAGGGTTAGGGTTAGGGAAATAAGGCCATGTCTAGCATGGAAGTATGACTGTGGAATGACGGAAGTGTACGAAGTGACTAGTGCTGCCACGTAGCGGCACCCTCCCTCTACGCCCGGGGAAAGTGACTAGTGCTGCCACGTAGCGGCACCCTCCCTCTACGCACGGGGGAAAGTGACACCCCATGTCTACAAGCAATTCTGATTGATACGCCCTCTATAGTTATTTCTGGGAAGAAAAAGACACAGAATGATCCATCCTCCCCCACTATGCGAGAAGGTCGCATACCAACACCGTTTACTCACAAAGCTAATTCTCCTCATATTCCTCTACCGGATAAATCACTGCGATTTTAATAATTTGTCAGCTGAAATCTTCATTTTGAGTCCTAACTCTGACGTTTCTTACTTTTCCATCTTGACCTGGATAAACCTCTGTGACTCTGGCGATGTTCCATTTCCCTCTGGCGGAGTTTGGATCTGCTAAGACCACAATATCGTCTATCCTCACATCTCGGTGGTGGACTGTCCATTTCTTTCTCGAAACCAAAGCAGGGTAAACGTCTCTAACCCAGTTCTTCCAGAAGGAATTGACAATTTGTTGCACGAACTCAACTCTATGTCTGGGATTCTTACTGGTGCGGAACGGTCCTTGTGCGGAACTCTGTTAGATGCTCTACTAAGAAGAATGTCATTTGGGCATATGTAGTTTCCGTCATCTGGGTCATTTGGATGTCTTCCAATTGGTCTTTCATTCACTAAATTGGCTATCTATTGAAGACGTGTGAAATTTCAAGGGAGTTAGATGTTGGTCTCCGATGGCTTTCTTTATCGCATGCTTACAGCTTTTGACTAGTGCTTCAGCGCATCCGTTCTGGTGAGGTGCTAAAGGTGTGACAAATTTCCATATAACCTGTCTTTCTGCACAGAATTCCTTCAAATCATCCCTGTCCAACCCCTCACAATTTCTCTCGTTGTCTCTCTGTACCAACCATCTGGGTACCGTTGTCACCCTTTATCAATCGTGGACAACCTCTGAACGCAAAGAACCTTCTCAGACCTTGAAGAAACTCCATCGACGAGCAGTCAACTGCAAGTTCTAGGTAAACTGCTCTCGTGTTCAGACATGTGAATATCACCACATAATGTTTTGTCGTCTTGTTTCTTCCAATTTTCACCGTATAAGGACCAAAGTAATCACATGCAGTATTATGACACGGTGGCGTGAAAGGTGCCATTCTTTCAACAGGGAGGTCAGCCATAAGTTGCTTCTCTTTTCGATGGTCATGTACTTTGCAGCTTACACACCTGACTTTCACAGTTTTCGCGAAATGTGTTACCCCAATGATCCAATATTTACCTTTGACTTTGCTAGCCGTAGTAGCAATGCCATAGTGACCACGTTCATGAAAGTGTCTAGTGATCAAGTAAGATATGCGATGGTTTCTAGGTAGTAGTACTGGGTGCCTCATATCATATGAGAGTGTTCCCTGGCTAGCTCTGCCACCCACATAAATCATATGCTCTTCTATAAATGGGCTCAGTGATTTTAACTCGCCCTTGCTTACATTTTCATGGAGTGGCTTCTGAGCTTCAATGAGCCAATGTCTTTTTGCATGTGCTAATTCTTCAGTTTCTAGCGGTCCATAGTGCACTTTACGTTTGGCTTTCGTATTTGTTATGAATCTGAAGACATACGCTGTTACCCGGATTAACTTTCTCCAACTTGAAAAAAATCCTTCACGTCAATAGCATCATCCACCTCCTGAGCTATCATCTTAGTTTTTCCCCTTTTCTTTTCTTTATCAACCTCACTGACATCTGCTCTAGTAATCGAACTTCGCCACTTCTCTTCTGGAAACATTAAGAATGGCGGCCCAGTCTTCCAGATGTCGTTTAAATCTTTCACAGCCACACCTCTTGAAATTTTATCCGCAATGTTGCATTCTCCCGGTATATGTCTCCACTATAAAGGGTCTGTACTGCTCTGAATTTCCGAGATTCTATTGGCTACAAATGTATTATACTGTCAGGACTGGCCCCGGATCCAAGACAATTCAATGATACTATCTGATAGAAATACAACCCTTTCAAAGTCTACTGACATCTCCTTCCTTATGGTGCCGCAAAGCCGAGATGCAATGACAGCCGCCTGCAATTCTAACCGTGGTATGGATAACATTTCAGTGGAGCTACACGGGACTTGGCAGATAGCAACCTTACACCATAGATTTCGTTACTCTCTTCCCATCTGGTATATGCGACAGCACCAAAGGCATCCTCTGAGGCATCGCAGAAAATTCCAAGCTCAACAGGCACTGATTTTGGCATGAGGCACTTTGGAATGACACCCCCTCTAAATGCTCCAACTCCAGGAAGAACTTTCTCCATTCTGATTTCTCAGATGCCTGTAGGTCTTCATCCCAGTCAATACCCCTCTGCCATAATTTTTGCATCAAGATTTTTCCTCGAATAAGGAATGCAGCGGTGAACCCAATCGGGTCATATACCTTGGCCAATTCACATAGAACCATTCTTTTCGTCAGTATCTGTTCATCTTTTACGTGAACCGGCTTCACCTTGTACTTCATTTCATCTGATGCCGGGTCCCACACAACGCCCAGAACCTTCTGTTCTTCGGCTTCCTTTATGATTGCCATTTCATCAGGTTTTCTGCCTTCATCCTTTATGACGCTTTCGTTTGTAATACTCTCAGTATATACCCACTCCTTCACTTTAAACCCTCCGATCTTAAAAACTTTATCAATATCGCTTGTCAATTGCCTGGCTTTCTCAATGGACTCAACCGAT